CCTTCTCTCACTCCCGGAGAAATTGTGGTTGGATTTAAGGAGGGGAGGAACCCCAGACCTGGGAGAGTGGTGCAGCTTAGTGAGGCTGTGGCATGTCCAATCCTAGGGATCTTCAGAGCTTGTGTGGACACCAGCAGATTCCATTTTTAGTTTTGAGTGATGGTTCAGGTGACTTCCAGCCATCTTTTACACCTTAGGCGCTTTTGTTCTACAAACCTCTCCTGAGATTTTCTGGACCTGCAGTTAGATGAGGAGGAGCCTCTCCATCCTCACTTCTGTCTGAAGTGCTCTCAGTGCCATTTTCCACCTTTTTTTGGCTGTTTGATGCAATCTCTTCCCTGTTTCCGTACACTCCTTTCCTATTTCCTCTCCTCTGAGTGGATTTTCAGGGCTGTGTTTTAGGGAAAACTCCACCTGTGGGTGTTCCACAGAAGAATTACCTTTCAAAACCCCTGAAGATGGGCTGAAAGTGGATACTTACATGAAATAAAGGGAGACTTTGGGTGTACAAATAGAACTTGAGTTCTTTCTGGCAATCTGGCCCTCATCCCAGCCTTTTTGGAGGATAATCATCGTTCCAAGAGAGGTTTTCATGGACTATAGCATACACTTTATATTTCACTGTGTAATGGAACCTTCCCTACACTCAAGGAAAACAATTTACAGAGCTAATTGCTGAACTCTGCAGATATAATCCTTTAAATGGGTTCTGTTAGATAAGAGTTTATGTTTAAAAAGAAGAAATGTTCTAGAGGAAAATTATTGTTTAGGGAGCATTGATTTGCATGAATTAATGTTTTCACTTCAGCTGAGAGTTAAAAATGGATATTTAAGCTGAGTCCCATTTTAGTGTAACATCAATGCTTCATTAGTTCTGGTGTGAGCTAAAATCCATTGTTTGTTTGCTTTTTTTGTGCCATCAAACTTCAGCTGGCATGGGGTCAAACTGTCCCGAAGATTTCATTTCTTGAATTAAACAAACAAACAAACAAAAAATTAAAAAAAAAAATAAAATCCCTGCATGGACTCTGAGAGGGGAGGATGGCTCAGAGCTCTCTTTGTTGCTCACTGCTTCAGTTTCGACAATGCTCTCCACCCTCCTGTCTCAGCCTACTTATCAGGGAAATTAGGGGTGGTGTTAATGATCTTACCTGACACCGCTGTGGCAGGAATGAGCTGATGAATATTTGCACAGTACAATATTTGTACAGAGGTGCTGCATCACCCGTGCTGCAGGAGCAGCCATCTGTCACATCTCATGTTTAAAACCTGCACGGCGCCTTTGGGGCCGGGGTGACTTTTACAGAACTTGGGGTTTTGATCGCTGTTTTTATGGCTTAAGTTTTAATTCGGAATTTAGCCCAGGTCTGGGCCTGCTGCCCTATAATCTGGGTTATGGCAGAAAGTGAGAGGTTCAGCACTGCTTGGGAGGTGTTCATAGTGAAGCAGGCACAGGATTTAATGTAATTTAATTTAATTTCAATCCCTTTTCTCCCATGTAGCCCGGTGCTGGTGGCAGACTGAGGGAGGAGGAATAAACCCCAACGTTTCAAAGCTCCGTGGAACACAGGGTATGTGGATTTGTTCTCCATGGCTTTCTTTAATTATCCTGAATTTCTGTGTTGTGCTAACCTCGATTGTATTCAGAGGAAAGTTTCAGAA